TATTAAGACCTTAATAGAGAATTTAGACGCCTGAAGGGTACGTTGGGCGTAAACCTGAGGAAACTAGGCGTACTAGGTTGCAACCCTGTAGGCCCACCAATTTGAAGTTATACGTTGGGCGTAAAAGGCAATATATAGGGCGTACTCCTAGAAAACCAACTTGGGCCATTTTTTGGGCCTTGGGTCGTTGGGCATTTCAGGCCTTGCATTTTGGGTAACGCATGGGATGGGCAAAATGGAATTTTTCCCTTGGTAAGATTAAATAAGTTTTGGATCATTGATTGTAGATTAAAACCCTGATTATTAATTAGGATTGTCTTTAGGTTTTGATTAGTATGAGGAGCCGTGTTAGCAGCATCTCAAGTGTGTGATTCACTCATCGTCATGTAACACCCTGTTTCTAGTCGAATCATATCCGGGGTCATGAACTGAAGATCAACTATCATAAGACTTCAGGCCTTGGAGAAAGAGAGGTTCGAACCCATTTGGAAGTGGGTAATGTATATTATGTAATCCAAGAGTTTAGGTTGGGCTTTGGATCCCAAGGGTATAATGGTAAAAGTGATGGTTTAGGCCTTTCATGAACTAAGGATTTTAGTTCGAGGTGTTTTAATTCAAAAGTAACTATATAGCGTTGTAGAACTCCTCATTACCTTTCCTTGGATATAAAGATCATCGAAATTGGAGTTGGGACACAAAAGTTAGGCCTTCGGAAGATAGAATGGTAAGGGGCTTGCCGAGTACGCTAGGCATACAAGGAATGTATGTTAGGCAAAATTGGTTGGAGTGGTCGTGAAGGCTATTTCGCATATGTTGGGCATACCAGATGTATGTTAGGTGTACGTAACTCAGTCTTAAACCCTATTTTAGGGTCTTTGACCCTATTTAAAGTCCTTAACTCATTATCAACCTTCCTGATCTTCAGCCTCCATCCACTCTAACCCTAAATTCGAAGGTCGTTCCTCTCTTGTGTGAATTTCAAGCCTTGGTGTGTTCTTTTGGTGGTGCTTAGAGAAGAAAAGATATTGTAAGAAGCATTACTTGTCTTTGAGCTTGTGGATCCAAGCTCTAATCATCTTCATCAACTTCCATGAGGTATAAAGCTTCTAACTTGATGACTCTATCTGTTATATCTAGTCTAGGGCTTGTTTTGGGTTTTACACAAAAGAACATTCTACGTGCACATGCAAACCCGAAAGCTTGGATCTAGGTTTCTCTATTGTACATGCAATTCATCCAAGACTTATAAACCCTAGATCTAGCATACATATTTTGAAATTTTCATAAGAAAACAGATCTAGATGATTACCTCTTCAATAATGGCTTGAATCTTCTTGTCTTGTAGCTTAGAGTCACAAATGTCACTCCTCTAATGGCTTACAAACACCACACATGCAAGAGGGTTATATTAGAGAGAGGGGAGAGGCATAATTTCGGCTTTGAACTCTTCTAGGGTTTCAAGTCGTCGAAAATTGGATGCCTTGCGGTCTTATTTATACTGGTGTTACTAGGCTTTCAGTCAAAACCCTAATGGACATCTTAGGCCTTAAGAAATCCAAGGAAGCTTCTGAAATAAGGCCCTTATGGCCGAAATTAGGATGGACACATCCCTAATTTCGTCCATGCCTAGTCCATGAGGCTCCTCATCCCAATATTCAACTATCAAACATTTGACAGTTTAAGTCCCTAATATTTAATTAATGTCTTTTAGCCACATAATTAATTCTTAATTAATTCTTGTCTAATATTAATCAAACTATATGATTTCTCCTTTAATATATAATTCATATAATATATTAATAAATCATAATAACCTCTCTATTCATAAATCACCATGTCAAGTTGTTTTGGTGAAGGCAACCCAAAATGATCATGCACAACCGGATCAAGTACTTACCAAATATAGTTACGGGCTTAGACACTAATCCAACACATGGACCCTATTTAAAGTCCTTAACTCATTTTCGACCTTCCTGATCTTCATCCTCCATCCACTCTAACCCTAAATTCAAAGCCCTATACTCTCTTGTGTGAATTTCAAGCCTTGGTGTGTTCTTTTGGTGTGGCTTAGAGAAGAAGAGATATTGTAAGAAGCATTGCTTGGCTTGGAGCTTGTGGATCTAAGATCTAATCATATTCATCAACTTCCATGAGGTATAAAGCTTCTAACTTGATGACTCTATGTGTTAGATCAAGTCTAGGGATTGCTTTGGGTTTAATATGGTCCCTAGATTCATCCCTGTAAGTATGAGCTACTATAGGAGCTTAAAATGTTAGATCATAGCATTACTAAGGTTGTTGGTGCATAAAAATGTAATCTTGATGGGTTTTAATGAATCATGCTTGAGTTGGTGTTAATATTATGAGCTTAGAGGGTTTTGGGTCTCATTACGACATGCAAAGGAGTAAAGTTGGCAACTTTATGGATTAAGACCTTATTTTGAGGTTAGATATGAGTCTGGATGTATAAGTCTTAAGCATTAAATGCTTAATGTGAGTTTTGGCCCTCTGATGAGTATGTTGGGTGTACGTATGCATACGCTCAGCGTAATGCAAGGGTTTAATGTTTTTAAGCTTTAGCGATTTGTACATGTGCAGCGGCAGGCAATATGGAGGGCGTACAAATCTGGTATGTGGGGTGTACTCCTGAAAGGATCTTTTGGGCCTTTCGGGTCTTTTTAGAAATGGAAAATGAGATGTTGAGTCAGATATGCGAAGGGTAAAATGGTCTTTTACGCATTGGAAGGATAGGATATTTATTACCTTGGATTTTAGGGAATCTCCTTAATTATTGATTAGGGATAATTTAGTATGTTCATGTTGATACATAAAAGTGAACCTATAGTAATCTGAAGCCAAACCAGATCCGAAGTCTAGTGAATTCCGAGATGTGAAGAGTTCCTACGTGAAGCTTCTTCCAAGATGAAGACTTATCCAAGACATTCCAAGTTTTTGATGTTATAGAGTCGATACAAGCATTTAATGCTCCTTTTCGTTTTTGTTGATAGTACATTAGGGGGAGAGAGTCCCGCTCTCTCTCTCTCTTCTAACCATTGGCCGACGAATTTTTTTTTTACTCAAACGACTATATAGCCTTTACATATGTGTGTGTGTATCTATATATATATATATATATATATATATATATATATATTATATATATTCTTTTTTCCTTCCCTTTTCTTAATCTATAAATACTCAAACATTTTATCATTTTTTTAAACCATAATCTAGATTTCTCTATATTTCTCTACTAAAAAATATTACTCAAAATGTCATCATCTTCATCATCCGATTCGACGGTAGTAGAGCGATGCTACGTTTATCGGTTCCGTCATGGCGAAAACGGGTGCATACTATCAAAACCGACTTGGTGAAACATCACGTGCACGACCTAACCTAAGAAATCCGTTGTTACGTAAAAATCACGAAACCGGACACGGTCGCCTTATAGAAGATTATTTTGCAGATGACGCCGTCTACGCTGTAAAGTTTCGACGTTAGTTCCGGATGAGGAAGGAACTATTTTTACGTATTGTTGGCGATTTAGAAGGCCGCTTTCCATATTTCCAATGGAAAATGGATGCAAGGGGAAAAAAGTTTCTCTCTCATTCAAAAATGGACGACTTCAATTCGTCAGCTAGCATACGGCATGGGCACAGACAAATGGGACGATTATTTTAGGATGTCAGAGCGTACCGTGAGGGACTCTATGTACAAGTTCTGTAAAGCGATTTGTTTGGTTTACGGGCAACGATATTTGTGCAAACCAACTATCAACGATATCCACCAATTGTATACGGTGCATGAAGGCAAACATGGATTCCCTGGAATGCTAGGTAGTATCAATTGCATGCATTGGAGTTGGTCATTATGCCCCAACGCATGGCGTGGTCAGTACATGAGAGGCAACCACAAAGAGTCGACGATCATTCTAGAGGCTATCGCATCACATGATCTTTGGATATGGCATGCATTCTTTGGTCCAGCTGGTGCATACAATGACATCAACGTGCTAGACAAGTCGTCTGTATTCAATGATATCTACCTTAGAAAGTCACACGATGTACCTTTTCAAGCAAATGGGGTAGCATATAAGCATGGATACTATCTTACTGACGGTATATATCCTCCCTTGTCTATTTTTGTGAAATCGTTTACATGTCCTAACGACCTGAAAAGGAAAAAGTTTAAAGAGGCACAAAAATCAGCTAGGAAGGATGTGGAGCGAGCATTTTGTGTACTTAAGAGACGTTGGCAAGTAGTAACGGTCGGGGCAAGGTCATATGAGGTGAAAAGGTTACAACACGTAATGTATGCATGTATCATATTGCATAATATGATTCTTGAAGTCGAAAGAAGAGTGATATGCCGATACAACGAAAATGAAGTTTTGCCAAATATCGAAGGAGTAGCCGTTGGTACACAAGAGTATAGGGTGAATAGAAGAAAAGTACACAATCGCGACCTTCATCAGACCCTTCGTGCTGATTTGGTGGAACACATTTATAGGGCTCATATTCAGCCCCCGCACGAGTTATCTCACGATGATGATTTGTTTGACGAATCAGACGAGGATTCTGATATGTTCGTCGAGAGTGAAGATTCCGACGAAGAGAGTGACGCTGGGGAGAATGATCCAGATGATCAAGGCGAGGACGAAGACGATGATTCCGAGTAACGTATCTATGTTTAAATAAAATTAAGATATTAATTAATAATTTTTACTATGTTGTAGTTTTTTTGATTTTTTTCGTGTTTTTTTTTACTTATTTAAATATTAGGGTTAATGTAATTTTTATTTTGCTTACTGAAATGTTTTTTATTTTTAATTAAATTTTATGTTTGTTCCCTACTAACTTTTAAACGAGGGAAAGGAACTAGAGAGAAAGAGGACACCAAAATGCATGAGAGAAAGAGGGTATGCACCAAAAGTTCCCTCCCACTCCTTCCGGTTTCCGTCTAAAGACTCCCATGCGATCAAGGAATGACGTAGCAAAATGTGCAGTGAAACCTGCTTAGATTTGAAAATTAATATCCAAACGGACTCTCAATTAGTCGAAAAAACATCAGTTTTCTGCAACAGGATCTATCACCCAAACCCATCATCAAACTTGTATTCATCCATTAGAGATCACATCTCTAATGGTGCACCAAAAGAAGCCCTTTTAATTTACACCCAAAATCGTCGAAACCCACTTAATCTACTGAGTGTACTCCCTTTGGTTTTCAAAGCTTGTGCAATTCTCACCCTGACTAACTACGGAAAGTCGCTGCATTCCGAATCAATCAAAGCTGGACTTTTGTCTGATGTAGTGTTGGGAACCTCAATGGTGAGCATGTATGCTAAATGCTGTAACGTGATCGACGCCCGCAAAGTGTTCGATGAAATGCCTGTGAAGAACGTTGTCACATGGAATGCCATGATAAGTGGATATATGAAGAACAGAGAAACACAACCTGCCTTACAGTTATTTAACAAGATGTCTGACAGGACATCAGTTTCTTGGATCGAAATGATCACAGGGTATGCAAGAGCAGGGGATACAATCATGGCAAGGTCTTTCTTCGATCAAGTTCCATTCCCACTGAAAAATGTGATGATTTGGACTGTTATGGTTGATGCGTACGCAAGTAATGGGGACATGAAAGCTGCTAAAGATGTATTCGAGGCCATGCCAGAAAGAAACTTCTTCGTTTGGTCATCAATGGTTTCAGGGTATTTCAAGAAAGGTGATGTGGAATCCGGGGAGACCATCTTCAATCGGATTCCATTCCGGAATCTTGTAATCTGGAATTCGTTGATTTCTGGGTACTCTCAAAACGGTCTTTGTGAGAAAGCTCTAGAAGCATTTGCCAAAATGGAATCCAATGGGTTTGAACCAGATGAAGTCTCGTTTGCAAGTGCTTTATCGGCTTGTGCCCAATTGGGGTCATTAAAAACAGGTAAAGATCTTCACGATATGATTATTCAAAAAAGAATCAAAGTTAATATCTTTATTTTGAATAGTTTAGTCGATATGTATGCAAAATGTGGTGATTTGATGAATGCAAGATTAATATTTGAAGACATGATGGAATCTGAAAGAAACGATTCTTGTTGGAACGCGATGATTTCGGGGTTTTCAATCCATGGTCATTGTAGAGAAGCCCTTGAGTTTTTTGATCGAATGGAGAAATCTAAAGTGACACCGAATGAAATCACTTTTTTATCGGTTTTATCGGCTTGTGCACATGCGGGATTTGTTGATGAGGGATTGGAAATATTTGATAAGATGGGGAAATATGGTTTGGTGGCTAATGTGAAGCATTACGGGTGTTTGGTTGACATTTTGGGCAGGGCGGGCAGGTTGAAAGATGCGTATCGGGTGGTGACCGAGATGCCCGTGAGACCGAATGAGTCGGTTTTGGGGGCTTTGCTTGGTGCATGTCGAGTTCACTCGGATATGGAAATGGCAAACCGGGTGAATGCCGAGTTAACTCAGTGTGGTTATGTGGTTATGTCGAATATGTATGCTGCTTCAGAAAAATGGGAAAAGGCAGAAAGTTTGAGGAATTTGATGTTTCGTGAAAGGATTCAGAAAACAGTCGGGCGTAGTTCAGTTCACTTGAATGATTATGATGGGAACTGGAATTAGAAAATCATGGGAAGTGATATCTGTAAGTTGATTATAGATATGGCTTCAAATTCTACTACAGGAGGCTACAGACATGTATACGTGCTTATTATTTGTGTGAGTCGTTGGCTGGTTGAAATATGTAATTAATAATAACATTTTAAGATGCATACCTTTTTTTTATTTTCTAAATAAAAAATACGATTTCATATTTAAAGAATGTGATCAAGAAGAGAAACGGTAGATTCGGCAACACAATTTCCTGAAGTGACAACAATCCGGGAAACTTTTTTAAGCTACACACTTCTTTGAAATCCCCGAATCACCGACCAGTGAAGTTATCATTTGGCATAGAAAGTCAACGCACCTTTATATATATATATATATAAATCAGTACATGAAAATGAAAAAAATTGCACACAACATTAATTAGTAAAATCTTATTTCACCGATTTCTTGCGCCATCATAGAAACTTCAAAAATCCAGGGTTAATTTCTGGCTGTGATCAACAATGTAGTTGTCACAAGAATTCAAATGCAACCCTTTTCTGAAATTCTCCACTTGACTTTTCCTTATATCTTCTTCAATGTGTACCTATATCGTCTTACACAGAAAGTATCTCAGTTTCAGCCCCATGTGATCCTTCTACTTTACTCTCTATCACCTTTCTGTGCTCATCGATGAACACAAATTCTGCCTTGCGAACCATCTTCTTTTTCTTGAGAAAACCCCACAGTGCTGCCATAACAATCCCCACGAAGAAAACACCAGTACATGAGACAAACACCACCACAATGATTGTGGCGCCCTTACCTGGAGCAGATGGAGGTGGTGGTGGTGGTGGAATTGTATGGGGTGGCGGCGGGAGAGTCATACGTGAAGGCGATGGTGGGAAAGGGATAGTATGTGGAGGCGGTGGAGAAGGTCTACGGATGGTACGTAGGAGGTGGTGATGATACAAAATGAGGTGGAGATGGCGGTGTTGGGGTGGAAGATGGTGGTGGAGGAAAATGTTGGACGAAATATCGAGTTTGAAGAGAAGCCATTATTATAATATGGAAATTATTAAAGAGATTGGTGATATGGAATATTGATGTGTAGCAAAGGGTAGAGAGGTGGAGATTAATTTGTAGTACATGAGGAGATACATACATTACTTGCTAGTATCAAGTATCATGAGACTTGGTGCACATTTTAAGCTTTGAATGTATTGCAAAACACTTTGTCCAAATTAAGTATCACAATAATGGACAATATTATAGCTAGCTAGGTACCATGCAATATGGCTGTCAAAGAGACATACATCATGCCAGAAGGAAGGACAGGACAACATTTCATCAGCAAAACCCATTGGACATTTGGATGTACCTATAAAATGTTATTTGCAGACATCAAGTGCCATGTATGCTAATATGCTATATGCATGCATGATTCGTCCTTTGGGTGTTACTCCTTCATTCATACCCTTCAGACTCTAATTGAATTACACCATTAATATCTTCGATAAAATATGGAAACGATATAATAATTTGGCAGATAGCATACATCAATCATACATGATGACATTCAGAACATATATATAGGAAGGACCTAGGGCCTGTTCAGTTCTGTTGACATTGTTAATGTTTTTGTCTTTTATTCCCTTGTATTTGTTTTTAGATTTGGAGCTTACTCCTATTTTCAGAATATAATCTTGCATTTTTTTTTACTGGAGATGAATATGCGTTTTGTTGTGAATATTAAGATTAATATTATTTTACAGTCGACGATCGAAAGGAATCTTTTTGTAACTTTTATCTTTATTTAATGGATTTATAACATTTTTGGTTCTTTTGATTAATCCCCAAACCTTTAAACTATCGTTTGATCGATCAATATGTTAAACCCACTACAAGAAAATGTTGTTTTACTGACAAGATCTTTAGGGACGAGTCGACAATGTATATATGATTTGCAATGAACACATGTTTTCCCTGTGGTGTTTCTAAAAGATTTTGAAATTTTGAACTTTCATGGACGCGCAACATGGCGGGTAGTATAGGCGGGAATTTTTACCTTCCAGTTTCTGTTAACATAAAATTTCTAGACCCAGGAGGTACAACGACAATGTATCGTAGCTAAAAAGTAAAAGATATTGTTCTCAACATTTAATTAAAATTAATGATTATAAGTTGATTTTTCTATCTATAATTATTTTTTGTTCAAAAAATAGCACGACTTTGGTTAGAAGCTACCTAGTGGTTACAACGTAACCTAGATCAAAAAGGGTTTAGATCTGTCTCATTATCACCAAAAAAAATGTTACTAATATTGTCTTGTTTCTTCCACTTGATAGTGATTTTATATCATTTTGTGTAAGTGTCCAAGAAGACTTAAATTGAAATTTATACAATTGTCAAAGAAATCTTAACTTATTATCTAATACAAGTCGGTGCTTTATAATTTGTACAGCTATACTAGTATTTGAGACGATGAATGGTGGGGGCTAAAGGGTAGAGCCTCTATGGTGGTGCCAACGAATGATCAGATGGATAGGTTGAGCGGTATAAAATCAGACTAAGTCAAAATCTTGGTAAACATCTTCATCTTGTGGACATCCGAAAACTTCATCTTGTGGACTTGTGAACCTTAGTGCTTTACGGACTTCTTACCTTTTGATGTTTAGGTGTCTTCTGAAAACTTTAAAAGTTAATCCGATTGATTCGATGTTAACTTTAGAAAATGGTCAGATTGGTTTGATGTTAACTGTTGAATAAGTATTTGTTACTTTCAAACATTAGGGATCTAGTTCTAGAGGAGTGGGGTGCATGGTCCCCACTTAAAAATGGATCCTATCAAGAATGAATATATAAAAATTAAAAAATAATTTAAACATTGGTCCCCACTTTCGACTTCTCATCTTTTATGATTCTTTTCTCCCATTTTTCTTTTGAGTTTTGACCTAGTATACCGATTCACAAGAACTAGAAATAGCCGGAAGTTATCATTCCACAGCCATCGACCACAATTGTCGGAAACTTAGCAGGTGCGACATGCATACTCATAATGATAAATATGAACTTGGAAATAACGGGGGTTCAAAGGCAGAGCCCATGGGTGCAGGGTTTCAAGTGGTTGCGCCCAGGGTCTAGGGACAACACCCCTGCGGGGTCCAAGGGGTAAAGCCCCTGGTGGTGGTGTCATAATAACCAACTAGTAGTAATATCATGATAATGTTATTAGTTGGTTATGTCATGCAAATTCTCACCAAAACTAGTAGTATCATGATGATGTCATTAGTTGATTATGTCATAATAACCAACTTATTTTTGTGCCAAATGCATGTAACTTCCGTCAACCAACTTTTAATCGATTTTTCTATCATCTATTTAAGGATGATTGAAGTTCCAAAATTCGGTTTGAACATAGATACTCTCGAAAATCATTCTTATGATTTTATCTATCTCTTCAAGAACACAAAATAGTAAGGTATTTTTCTGTGTTTCGGATTTAGAAGTGGTCTGACTTCTAAATTGTCATTCTTTGAATTATCCTGAATTTGATTTTATGATACCCCAAGTTATAAGGTCGAAATCACAGATTTTCAAAATCTAGTAAAATGATTTTTCTTTTATTTGATACTCTCAAATAAGTAATTTGTATTAAATGGGTTTGAAATGATAAAGGTAGGATATGGGTTTGGAGGAACCTTAATAGTTAGTCTTTTGTGCGGGTTAAACAAGTTAAGCAAACAATTTGATTGTTTCTCCTCTGCTAGAAAATATGTTGGTTGCATATTTGCAAATTTATTTTGGATTTATTGTTTATTTAAAGTAAGTGCTTTTTAATTCTCAAGATCTTGTTATAGGATCCAATATTTTGTGGTGTTTTGTGAAATCAAGATTATAACAAAATTGCTGCATAGCTATTGTGTATTCTAGAATGGTTAAAGAGAAGAGTTTCTTCACTTCAACATGAAATGCACTCCATTTGTGCATTCTGGGATAATCATAACAGATGTTTGTGAAATCGATTTTGGGGTAATCGTTATCAGACCATTTTGGGGCATTCCACTTGATCTTCGGGCTGGACATGCTTTCAAATCACCATAATTTTATTATCCTTATCCATTTGATGGGTCATGCATGTATATATACTAAGGACATTTATAATTATGATTTAACCGAATTATTGAATGAGATAGAACGTTTATTTGGCATCCAATGATTTTACTGGACATTAGTGAGATGCCAAGTTAACATTTAATCGTAAAAATTTTAGGCTTTTTTTTTCATTGAATTTTATAAAGTTAAATGTTTTTTTAGGAATTAAATGATAAGGTTGTATAAAAAATAGAATGCTATATGGTATTTATTATATTTTATAGAGTTCAATGCATTTTTGGTGCCTTAACTCCACGGTAAATGAACCAAATCAAATCATGGCGGTTGCAATCTTAGATGGCTCAAAAAGTTGTGGGTGGTCGGAGAACCCATTTTTAATGTATTTTGGATGTCATAATTACATACCAGACATTTACTCTTATGAATTTGAACATTGCGTACATTATTTTAGTTTATTGCATAACTTTTTGTGCCTAAGAACATGAAGTGGCACCTCGTGGTTGATCATGCAGCCAGGTTTGTGATATATATCCTGCCATAGGCTACTAAGAAATACATGATAAATAAAAAGATATAACTTATTTTATTTCTTAATTCTAAAAAAATCACAATTTTATGTTAATTAAAAGAATGTTTTCAAGAAACCGTAGAGTCATTAAAACCATATCCTTGAAATATTATGCTCGACCCCGAATGACCAGATAGCAATGATACTCGGGCAAACTTTTCAAATACATGGTTCTTTGAAACCTTCCTTCAAGTTCTCAACTAGTCAACCTCGTTATCAATTGGCAAAGAAAGTCAACGCAAATTCATATACACATGTACATAACAATAAAAAGAATCTCACACAACATTAATACAATGTTTTATTCAATGTTTTACAAATTTGTTTTGAGTTAATTATAGCTTGCGCTGCCATAGAAACGTTTGTAATCGGATTTCAAGACTTCTGACCAGGCAGGTGGTGATGGCCGGAACTAGAGGATGGTTCTCCAGCATCAACCACACCAGCAATATTGCCGGAATTCAAATGCAACCCTTTTCTGAAATTCTCCAACTCACTCTTCCTTATATCTTCTTCAATGTGTATATCATCTTCCACAGAAAGTATCACACTTTCAGTCCCATGTGGTCCTTGTACCATTCTCTCTGCCACATGTCGGTGTTCATCAATGTGCACATTTTCTGCCTTGCGAACCATCTTCTTCTTCTTCTTGAGAAAACACCACAACGCCGCCACCACAAATGCCAAGAAGAAAACACCACCACACGAGACAAACACCACCACAATGATTGTGGTATGGTTCCCCGGAGCCGGTGGAGGCGGTGGTGGGACGGCATGTGGTGGAGGTGGAGGGATCTTATGTGGAGGAGGTGGTGGTGGGATGGCATGTGGTGGTGGTGGAGGGATCTTATGTGGAGGAGATGGTGGTGGTGGGAGTGTTGGTGGCACTGCATGTGGTGGTGGTGGTGGTGGGATTGTATGTGGAGGCGGTGCTGAAGGTGTAGGGGTTGCAGGAGGTGGTGGTGATACGAAATGAGGAGATGGCGGTGGAGGAAAATGAGGGAAGTAATATTGAGTTTGATAAGAAGCCATTTGTAATTCGTAAATTTGAAAAAGAGATGAGTGAAATGGATAATGGATTAATTGAATTGATGTGTAGGAAAGGGTAGAGTGGTTGGTATTTGTAGTAGAAGATCGAGGAGATTATTACTTGCAAGTATCAAAAGACTTGGTGCACATTTTAAGTTCGCTTATTTTGCAAAACACTTCTCCATATTTTAAGGTTTGAATATTTTAAATCTTGGAACAGTGACACCCTAAGGGAAACTCTAGTCTTCTATTTCTTTTATATTTAAGTAATTAAACTAAAAATGTTGAAAATAATAAAATAGTCCAGGGTTAACATGGATCAAGTTGGGTTGGATTGATAAAACCCATCACCCTCATCTCCAGTCTTTTACATAAAATAGTGATCTTCAATAGTCCTTAATCTGCCATAGCATCAAGAACATATCCTTCATCCTTCATCACTCCTTTCAATTCCTTCAAAATCCCATATATTTCCCCTGAACTAGAATGCAACTCATCTCCCGAAACAAATAAATGTGTCTCCCCTCCCAATTTAATCCAACTACATCCAGGATGCTTCTTAACCCCCTTCTCTTTCATCTCCCTCCTCACTAAATTCACCTCCTCCCAATTCCCAGAAGCCGCATATATATTCGAAAGCAACACATAAGAAGCCGAACTTTCAGGCTCCAAACTCAACAACTCTTCACTCGCCCTTTTCCCCCTTCTTTTATCCCCATGAATCCTACACGCCCCAAGAAACGTAGCCCAAACAACCGCATTCGGTTTAAACTCAAGTTCATCGATTATCTCCTCAGCTTCTTTCAAATAACCCCATCTCCCATGAAGATCAATCAAACAAGAAACATGATCCATACGCGGTTTAATCTTATAAATACTTGTCATTTGATCAAACACTTCACGCCCTACTGACACCTTTCCCGCGTGACTACACGCCATGAGCACTTCAAGAAACGTGACATCATCGGGCTTTACCGTTGACTTTCTCATTTGGTCAAACACTTCCAACGCGTTTTCCGCATACCCGTTTTTCGCATACGCGCCAATCATCGAGTTCCATGTGATGACATCTTTTTTCGTGACCATTTCTTTGAAAACCTGTGAAGAGCTTATGATATCTCCGCATTTAGCATACATGTCGACTAATCCACTCCCTGTCAACTCATCCGAGTCAAAACCTGTGTGGAAAACAAGCGAGTGGACCCCGCGCCCATCCGGTAGAGACGCTGACGTGGCACATGCTTTCAGGACACTAACAAATGTTGCTTGATCCGGCATTGAATTGTGTCTTCGCATTTGTTGGTATATCACGAGCGCCTCGTCACCGGAATTGTTTTGGGCGAATCCGGATATTGCAACGGTCCATAAAACCGTGCTCTTCGGAATTGATAAGTCCGAGAACACAACCATGGAATCTGATTCCGCCTGGGATTTGAAATACATTCCAAGAAGAGATACCGAAAAGAATTCATTTTCAAAACCGTATTTTATTGCTAAATTGTGAATTTGTCTACCGAGATTTAATTTGGAAGGCTCGTTGCATCCGTCTAATATGCTTGCTAATGTAACTTCTGATGGATTCAATCCTTGAAACTGCATGTTCCTAAGAAGATTTACAGACACCTCAATGTTATTGTGAGCATATCCAGAAATTAAAGCGTTTATAGAAGCTACACTTTTCACCGGAATGGAATCGAAAACTTTTTGAGCATCGGAAACAACCCCACACTTGGAATACATATCAAGAAGAGAGCTTCCAGCATAAAGACTGGTTTCCATATTATATTTGACTAAAAGGGAATGCAATTGTTTGCCTTTGTTTACTGATTGAATATTTGCACAAGCACTGAGTATGCTCGCAAAGCAGTATTCATCAGGGGCAAACCCGTCATTTCGCATTCTCTGAAACATGCTGAAAGCCAACTCTTCTTCTTCTTCCTGAACGAACCCAACGATAATTGCATTCCAAGAAACGTTATCTCGGTTCTTGATCATGTTAAACTGTTTTATAGCGTCGTGTAAAGAGTTAGACTTTGCATACATGTCTACCAATGCATTTCCCACAAATAAGTTCATATGCAACTTGTTCTTGATGACAAGTGAATGAAATTGTTTCCCAATTTCGGGATTTTTTAGAGAAGAAGATGCACTTAGAACGCTGGTGTAAGTGAATTCATCAGGTTGGAAACCAGAATGTCTCATGTTTATGAATAGACTAATCACTTGATCAGAATCTTTATTCTGGGCATAACCTCCAAGCATTGTGTTCCATAAAACAATATTTTTCTCATCTAATGAATCAAAGACACTCCTAGCGGGACCCATTTCTTGACATTTTGCATACATACTGATTAAGGCGCTTCCCACGTAAACACTGGAAGATAACCCTCGTTTGGTTGCTTGAGCATGAACTTGTGAACCACAGTCAAGATCAAAGGTATTTGCAATAGCACTCAAAACACTTCCTAGAGTGGACCTTGTGGGTTTCAGATCAAATCTAGTCATGCTTTGAAAATAATCAATAGCTAAATCGTAATACCCTTCACGGGCATGCCCTGAAATCATGACATTCCATGCTACATCATTTGGATTGGGCATTTTGTCGAACAGATCGCGTGCATCATCAAGATGTCCTGATTCAACACATGCGCTTATGACAGTTACGAATGTTACTTGGTCTGGTATATGGCCCAGTTTCAACATATCTTGGAATAATCTTAGTGCTTTTTCGGGAAAACCAACTTGAACATAACCAGCAATCATCGCTGTCCAAGAAACGGTGTCAGGGCATACAGACCCATCAAATATCTCACATGCATCATGAACAAGGCCACATTTTGCATACATGTCGATAAGTGATCCTTCACAAAAGGAGTCACACATGAACCCTGTTTTGATAACGTGTGCGTGTACTGTTTTCCCCAACACGATGTCCGTCAATCTAGCACAAACCGATAAAACAATCGCATAAGTGAACTGATTTGGATACACCCCAGAAACCTGCATATCGCAAAATAGTTGTCCGACTTTTTCTAACATTCCGCGCCTCGAGTACATTGATAAAATTGGGTTCCAAGACAGTGTATCTTTTCGTTCCAACCTCGCGAAAGCTTTCTGAGCAAAGACCATGTTGCCGCATTTTGAATGCAAATCGACAATGGCATTGCCAAGTTTCCCTTGTGAATCAAAACCAAGTATCAAACTTTGGGCATGGATGAGTTTAACGGCTTTGGAGGCGTGTTCGAGTCTTTGAGGCAATTCGTCGAACAGCCTGCGGGATTGAATTTGTTTGCAGTTCTGCAGACATATTCTTAGAAGACGGGTGTATGCCTCATCTTCGAGGTTCAAAATAGGATGGCAGAATCCCCGCCGATCGGTTAACTGTTGCAAACTTGGCACACCGGGGCTGCAAAAAGTTCGTTTCGTTAACTTGATATATGTTCTTTTGTGACGCATCTTCGGGCGAGTTGGACATGACTCGGTAAGGCACTACCGAGTATTTTTACATTGGAATATATACTGGAACTACAGCAATCGCCGGAAGAAAAAAATATAGATAACAATAAATAAACGAGGCACCAACACAATCAATATTGAACGCTTGTGAAACTCGGGTGTTAGGTTTGTCTTTTGAAATGGTAAAAGTCCTTTTTGGAAAAGATAAATGGTAAAAGATGTTTGGTAAATTTATTTTAAAAGTGATTTTTGAATTTGAGATAGAAGGAAAAATAACTTTTTTGAAAAGTTAGGAAAACCTGATTTTTTGTAACTTTTCCAAAAAGTTCTTTTGCCTCTCAAAAAGACAAACCAAACACCCCCTAAAAAGGTGCAATTCATTTGTCAACCTACAATCTTATGGTGGTATAAACTATAGACGCCGACAAACTGCTTAAAATAAAAATGTCTTTATCCTTTGTATGTCATTTGACAATATATTATACGGATATTCTTCATACATATTTATAATTTAATTTTTTCCTTTATATAAATTTGTCATTTAAAATTTTTAATGCATTTTTAACTATTAAACTTGTTTTTTGTTTAAACATATATCATTATTACCTGCAATAGCATATAAAACCTATTTTACGGGAGTTTAAGTTCCACATCCGGCAACATTTTCGGCGTTCTTTACCGCTGGCGATATTTTTGGTTATCTTCTCTAGCCACATCAGATCTTGAACACACTTGCAAAGGCTTTGGAAGTCGTGGATGCTCTTAACCCTATAAACTACGTCTTCCAAATCATCTTCTCTATCGCAACTTCTTCTACAACATCTCCTTCGTCGGATGACCACAATCTTGCCACATCTATCAAGTTTAGAAAACACAGATAATCAAAATATCTCTTTGATTAATAGGAAAATAACTCAAAACCTATGTTGTGTTTTTATGTACAAACCATATCTCGGTATCTATACATACATACATATATATATATATATATATATATATATATATATATATATATATATATATATAATATATATATATATATATATATATACTCCTAAACTACCTAACTTGTAGAATAAGATTGCAATTAGGAAACATGACCAACTTGCCATATTTATTGATTACTTGGTCTCCAAGGTCCTACGTGACTTTAGGATTCCAACAATCACCCCCGAATCTCTAAGTCCTTCTAGAGAATTCTTCAACCCCAATCAAGCTCCGCGTTTCCTTGAACTTGGTTCGAGCTAATGGTTTCGTAAGAATATCTGCCCTTTGTTCTTCACCGGGAATGTATTCCACCTCCACTTGTTCCCTTTCGACACAATTACGAATGAAGTGAAACCTTGTGTGAATGTGTTTACTCCTTCCATGAAAAACGGGATTCTTAGTTAGTTCGATAGCCGACTTGTTATCTACTCTAAGAATAACTTTCTCTTGTGCTTTGTTCATGATTTCCCCAAGTAAATCTTGAAGCCATATTGCTTGACATGCACTCGCAGTGGCTGCCATGAACTCAGCCTCACAAGATGATAAAGCAACGGTGTCTT